TTGTATATAGTAGTTATGATGTGTGTTAGAGACCGGCTTGATAATTGATATATGCTTAAACATAAATATGTGCACTTGCTTTTTTGTCAGGGTATGTCTTTGTATATAGTAGTTATGATGTGTGTTAGAGACCGGCTTCATATGTGATATGTGCTTAAACATTAATATGTATACTTGCATTTTTGTCAGAGTATGTCTTTGTATATAGTAGTTATGATGTGTGTTAGAGACCGGCTTGATAATTGATATGTGCTTAAACATTTATATGTATACTTGCATTTTTGTCAGGGTATGTCTTTGTATATAGATGTTATGATGTGTGTTTAAGACCGGCTTCATATGTGATATATGCTTAAACATAAATATGTGTACTTGCTTTTTTGTCAGGGTATGTCTTTGTTTATAGATGTTATGATGTGTGTTTAAGACCGGCTTCATATGTGATATATGCTTAAACATAAATATGTGTACTTGCTTTTTTGTCAGGGTATGTCTTTGTATATAGATGTTATGATGTGTGTTTAAGACCGGCTTCATATGTGATATATGCTTAAACATTAATATGTATACTTGCTTTTTTGTCAGGGTATGTCTTTGTATATATATGTTATGATGTGTGTTTAAGACCGGCTTCATATGTGATATATGCTTAAACATTAATATGTATACTTGCATTTTTGTCAGGGTGTGTCTTTGTATATAGTAGTTATGATGTGTGTTAGAGACGGGCTTGATAATTGATATGTGCTTAAACATAAATATGTGTACTTGCTTTTTTGTCAGGGTATGTCTTTGTATATAGATGTTATGATGTGTGTTAGAGACCGGCTTGATAATTGATATGTGCTTAAACATAAATGTGTACTTGCATTTTTGTCAGGGTATGTCTTTGTATATAGATGTTATGATGTGTGTTTAAGACCAGCTTGATAATTGATATGTGCTTAAACATAAGTATATATACTTGCATTTGTTTTGTCAGGGTAATTGTTTTGTATAAAGATGTTATGATGTGTGTTTAAGACCGACTTCATAATTGATATGTGCTTTAACATAAATGTGTACTTGCATTTTTGTCAGAGTATGTCTTTGTATATAGATGTTATGATGTGTGTTAGAGACCGGCTTCATAATTGATATGACCACTGCTTAAACATAAATATGTGTACTTGCATTTATTTTGTAATAATATATGTTTATATATAGATGTTTTGCTATGTTGTTTAAAATTTTGATACAATGAAATGTGCTTGTATAACAATGAATAATTGTAGCTTTTGAAAGATTTGATCTGTCAGACTGCACAGATATGCATGCTAAGCCTAGATCAATGATTTAGGCATATAAGAAAGATGGTATGTGATTCACCATGATATGATTTTTTTTATATCCACTATTTGATATGTGCTTGTACATTCGTATAAAAACTTTTTTTCTTTTATTCTGTCATGATATGTGTCTGTATATCAATACAGATGTTTTGATATGTCTTTAAGACTTGCAATATTATTTGATCTGTGTGTATTCATCAATATATTAGCTTTCATTAATTTTGTCATGGTATATGTTTGTATATAGATGTATTATAACAAATGCCCTTACAGGTATTTTAAGGTCCTTTGTGCCTCCTTAGGAAATATTTTAAGGTCCCTAGCAGTCCTTTTCGCACCTGAGCAGTCCTTAGCGGTCCGGCAACTCATCGAAAGCATAAATTCTATCACCAAAATTATATTTTTTTCTTACAATAATACATTTTTGTCTATTAACTTACTACCATATATTATAAGAATGTTCTAGGAGGGATTTGAAGGTCCTTTGTGCCTCCCTAGCAGTTGTTAGTGCACCTGAGCAGTCCTTAGCGGTCCGACAACTCTTCAAAAACATAAATTTTATCACTAAAATGATATTTTTTCTTAAAATAATACATTTTTTGTCACTAAACATACTACCTTGTATTATAAGAATGCCCTAGGAGGTATTTTAAGGTCCTTTGTGCCTCCCTAGCAGTCTTTTGTGTATCTGAGCAGTCCTTAGCGGTCCGACAACTCATAAAATTTTCACCAAAATCATATTTTTTCTTAAAATTATAATTTTTTTTTCACTAAAAATAATACCATATAATATAAGAATGGCCTAGGAGGTATTTAAAGGTCCTTTGTGCCTCTTTAGTAGTCCTTTGTGGCTCCTTAGCAGTCCTTAGCAGTCCTTAGCGGTCCTTAGCAGTCCTTAGCAGTGTTTAGTAGGACCGGATCTTAGGGCCCAAAAAATTTTTTTTTGGTCCCAGGATCAACCAAAGGTTCTGCATGTAGCCCAACAAATTGTGCGCTTTAGGGCTTTTTATTATATAGACGATGATCGCCCTTCGTAAAGACAGACATCTATGAAATATCAGATTATAAAATTGGTCCGTCTTGCAGTCAAAATATTGATACTACCAAAGGTTCCAAACCTGAATGTTCTGGCAATGGCAGTGGCTAGCCGTATGAACCCGTATTGCTGGCCAAAAGTTCTAGCTGTTCGTGAGTCATGTAGGACTAGCCTATAAGCCCTGTTGCTGTTTCGGCCCCAAACCAAATAACTTGACCCCAGCCAAAAAATCGGCCTGAAAGACGTTTTTTTTTTTTAAACGAAAATGGAACAAATCTTATATATATATGCTTTATTTGCCAAGAGTCGTGGGCATTTCTAAAAATAGACCAGTGACGTATGATGACGTCACAGGAACAAGCATGGAAATTACCAGAAAATGTTTAACTATTTGTATTCTGCACTGTCATGATCTTTTATGCATCTCTTAAGACTTATTTCCGATTATATAGCTCATTTTATATAGGTACCATTTTGCATTCACATGCATTTTGCTTTTCCTTGAGTCGTGGCTAACATGTATGTCAACAGTACTTAGTGTAAGAAAACATTGGTCAAATCTCAGTGAACTATTTCAAGTTACCTTACCAATTTATTAAACATCATTATATGACTAGAGCCTCCTATCTTAAACGATTTAGATTCAGATTTGATTAATTTATTCGGTACTTAACAGTCCTCAATAAAATCTATTAAAGTTTGTAATGAAACTAAAATAAAACGTCAGGGCAACTTTCATTCTGCCTTCAAAATCTTTTATACATTAACAAAACTGTAGCAACAATTGCAAATGATATTTTAAAAAAAACAATGTGGTTTTCAAATGTATCCTATTCCGTTAATTTTGCTTTATAAACAAACATAACAAGTTGCAAAAAAACGGAGATACAACAAATGATTTCAAAATTTTATTCAAGATAGATAATGGATCGATAATAGAATTAGATATAATGATGCCAATGACCAAGTGTTAGTTTACATTTCAATTAATAGTTCAGTGAGACTTTCTGTGGGGCCCAATTTTGGCGCGAAATTAAGTCGCACCTGCTCCAAACACCGGAAACCAGTAGGTTGTTGTTGTCAAAAAATGTAAACAAACCCTACAAATGGCCAAATGATTCGATTATAACAGTATTTACAACTTTTTAACAACAAATGAAATGAAATATTAACTTCTAAAATACATTTTTAACCATACAAAAAGTCATTTACGATTTTAACCCACCCACGACTCAAGGAAAACCCACGACTTAAGGAAAAGCAGCCATACTCTTTGTTTACACCTTGGGGGTAAAGCCCAGTTCTGGCAGGTTCTTAAATATTCAATACCGGTAGTTGATCTTTTCCCCCTGGCTTTAGGCCTTGCATCAACTTCATCAAGAACCTGTTGAGAGGCATATAGGGCTTAGACATATGATTTTAAAAAAGAGATTAGGACAGAGAAAGATGGAAAACAAAGCTGCCGAAATCATGTCTGATTCCATGTAGCCTCATTTATAATTTAAGTGTGAAAGGTTTTGACCCATTTACATGTAACTTTTTTTCCTACTGTCAAACGCTTTACGACATATTTTAACTGTCAATTTAACTTTCAAGGCAGGAAAAATTTATCAGCAACAATGCTGCTGGTTTAAATTGATTTAAATGGTAAAAATTGTCACTATATTTAATTATAAATTTTGTTACTGATCACAATAAAAAACTAGAACTCGCGAGTCAGATGTGTCACCTTGTGAACAATATATTTAGGAGAAATGGCCAGGACAAGAAAATTAACAAAGGGCAATAACTTAAAAAATGAGAAGTGCAGAGCAGCAGTTTCTTTGCACTGCACTTCTTATCAATAAGATATATCATCCTATGAAGTTTCAAGTCCATAGCTTTTATAATTTATGAGAAATGGCCTGGACAAAAATAAAGTATGAAAATTAATAAAGGGTAATAACTCAAAAATAAGAAATGCAGAGTACCGGTTCTTGTACACTGCACTTTTTCTTAATGAGATCTATCATCCTATGAAGTTTCATGTCCATAGCTTTTATACTTTAGGAGAAATGACCTGGACAAAAATAAAGTATGAAAATTAACAAAGGGCAATAACTCAAAAAATAAGAAATGCAGAGTACTGGTTCTTGTGCACTGCACTTGGGGTTATTGAAAGAAGCATGCATACCAAGTTTGAAGTCAATCAGATTTATAGTGACTAAGTTATGCTCCGGACAGGCTTAAGGGGACGCCGACAATAAAGCCGACACAGCTGACAAAAGTAACCCCTATATTTTGCCTTTTCAAGGCGACACAATTACAGGTCTCTGAATGCATACCAGCGATTTATGGCCTTGTCCAGTCTCTAGATCAGCAAATTTTATTTAATGACTGCTTTTAAACTGGGAAATACCAATAAAAAATGTGCAGCTGTTTGCCTGTCTCCAATATTTGCATGTCTAGAGACCAGAGGTGATCAGAAATTTAGAGGAATAATGTTTACATATGCACCAGGTACTATTAAGGATGGAAGACTTAAAACTCAATAAATTTTGAGAGAGAAATTAAGTGGGATTATGTGTCCGAAAATAGCATTAAGACAATTAAAGAAGCTTTATTGCTTCATTACATTTTACATTTTATTTCAGCTTGCATCAGCAGGATTCTATCATATCCCAACAAATGAGGAACCGGATGCCACCAGATGTTTCTGTTGTTACAAAGATTTAGATGGCTGGGAACCAGATGATAACCCTTGGTAAAAATATAAACTATATTATACTAATTAAAGGATAAAAAGCTATGAATATGTAAAGAACTCTTTTGTTCAATTCTCGAAAGATTTGTGACCCAGAATGTCTCTGTTATGTAACACATATAAAATGATTAATGTTTGTAACCAAATACTATGTTGCTGTTTTAAGAAGTTTAACCATTAAGCAATGATTTCGTGTATGTGACATTTGCACAACAGATATTAGACCAAAAATAAATATTTTTTCTTTCTCCTGCAGGGAAGAACACCGCAAACATTCACCACACTGTGCATTCTTGTCCTTGAATAAATCAGTGGAAAAGTTAACAGTGGATGAATTCCTCAAGTTGGAATGTGAAAGACAGAAAAACAAACTGGTGAGTATTGTTTAGGTAACACATGACTTGAAGTTGCTGTGTGATAGTGGATATTGTCAGTATGGGAACTGGTATATTACCCAGGGATGTAGTGGAGATTTACATTCAAGGATTAAGTTATAACTAAATGTATTAATTCTAGAACCTTCATTTACAAATGTCACATGTATGGGCTGAAGCTTGGCCCTTGAGTTTAAGGAAAATAACTAATTTAGGGGGGAAAACATATCAAAGATAAGGTAAACTGTATAAAAGATCTTATTTTACCAAAATTTACCTTGTAATGCTTGGAGACATATTTCCTATGTTGACATGAAAATTTATTAGTTTTCCCTTGTTGAAAAATACTAAACAGTTTTAGCTCTGTAAAGCAATATCCTTTGGTAGAAAATGATTTTGGTTGCTGCGGAGGGGTGTTGTTTTTTTTTTGGCACAGATTGAATTTATTATGAAGTCTTGTTGTTATATAGAGGTGTTTACAGAAGGCCTTTCTGCAGATGCATTTTCTTATATATTTATAATTTGCGTAACCTTCCAGAAAATTCTGACAAAAGTATCTACATACAAAGCCTCTGGCACAATTGCCCATAAAAGTAAACAGAGCACAGCAAGAAAATAAATTAGAGATAATTTTTTATACCCCCGCACAACAAAGTTGTAAGGGGGGTATACTGGAATCAGCTTGTCCGTCCGTCCGTCGGTTTTTTCTTGTCCGCCCAATAACTTAAGATTCCTTTGACCCTTAGTCTTCATATTTGGCATGGAGGTTAGTCATGATTAGTATATGACCCCTATTGATTTTGAGGTCACTAGGTCAAAGGTCAAGGTCACAGGGGCCTTGACTTCAAAAAGCTTGTCCGCCCAATAACTTAACATTCCTTTGACCTACAGTGGTCATATTTGGCATGGAGGTTAGTCATGATTAGTAGATGACCCCTATTGATTTTGAGGTCACCAGGTCAAAGGTCAAGGTCACAGCGGCCTTGACTTCAAAAAGCTTGTCCGCCCAATAACTTAAGATTCCTTTGACCCTTAGTCTTCATATTTGGCATGGAGGTTAGTCATGATTAGTAGATGACCCCTATTGATTTTGAGGTCACTAGGTCAAAGGTCAAGGTCACAGGGGCCTTGACTTCAAAAAGCTTGTCCGCCCAATAACTTAAGATTCCTTTGACCTACAGTCTTCATATTTGGCATGGAGGTTAGTCATGATTAGTAGATGACCCCTATTGATTTTGAGGTCACCCGGTTAAAGGTCAAGGTCACAGGGCCTTGACTTCAAAAAGCTTGTCCGCCCAATAACTTAGATTCCTTTGACCTACAGTCGTCATATTTGGCATGGAGGTTAGTCATGATTAATAGATGACCCCTATTGATTTTGAGGTCACCAGGTCAAAGGTCAAGGTCACAGGGGCCTTGACTTCAAAAAGCTTGTCCGCCCAATAACTTAAGATTCCTTTGACCCTTAGTCTTCATATTTGGCATGGAGGTTAGTCATGATTAGTAGATGACCCCTATTGATTTTGAGGTCACTAGGTCAAAGGTCAAGGTCACAGGGGCCTTGACTTCAAAAAGCTTGTCCGCCCAATAACTTAAGATTCCTTTGACCTACAGTCGTCATATTTGGCATGGAGGTTAGTCATGATTAGTAGATGACCCCTATTGATTTTGAGGTCACCAGGTCAAAGGTCAAGGTCACAGCGGCCTTGACTTCAAAAAGCTTGTCCGCCCAATAACTTAAGATTCCTTTGACCTACAGTGGTCATATTTGGCGTGGAGGTTAGTCATGATTAGTAGATGACCCCTATTGATTTTGAGGTCACTAGGTCAAAGGTCAAGGTCACAGGGGCCTTGACTTCAAAAAGCTTGTCCGCCCAATAACTTAAGATTCCTATGACCCACAGTCTTCATATTTGGAATGGAGGTTAGTCATGATTAGTAGATGACCCCTATTGATTTTGAGGTCACTGGATCAAAGGTCAAGGTCACAGGGACTTTGACTTCAAAAAGTTTGTCCACCCATTAACTTAAGATTCCTTTAACCCACAGTCTTCATATTTCATTTGGCATGGATGTTGATCATGACTATAAGGTGACCCCTATTGATTTTGAGGTCACTGGGTCAAAGGTCAAGGTCACAGGGACCTTGACAAAAAAAAGCTTTTCTTCTCAATTGCTAAAGAATGTTCTGTCCGCAATGTATTGATTTTGACATTTTCACATTTGAAGCATGTAGAATACATAACTTAGCAATGCACTGGCTTAGTAACCTCAGATTTGGCAGGGAGGTTGTCCTTGAGCTCTAAATGGCCACTGTTGATTCTGACAAAGTGGTATGCGGGGGTATTCACGCCATCATAGTGGCAGTTCTAGTTAGTTTTAATAATATTTATTGCATGAATGACTTTCGTGGTAGTTGAAAGTGATTTTTTTTCCAGAAAAAGTTATTTCACATCAAGATTGATGAATTGAAGCACCACGGGAAGAATGTACGAATGGAGATGGCTAAAATAAATAAATGATGTCCCCGTCCCCCCCTTCAACATAATCTTAAATCTGTGATTGTAAATAAAAGGAACTATATTAACCTTACCATCTGAATGCCTACAACAAGGATGTCATACAAATGCCACAGGAATTTAGCCACGCTAGCCAGCGTTGCAGTGCAGAGTTACACTAAAAATTTTTGTACTATTTGCTGTTTATGTTCTTGGTTTTATGTTAAAATTGAAAACACATTAAATATGAATATAGATATTTGAACAGGACATGACTGTACACTCTGCAAAAATCAGTGTCAGTGCAAATTTAATTTATCAGTCTCCTTTTAAGTCCTACACATATATACCATAATGCAGTTTTCAAAAGAAAAAGAAAAAAAGTTGTTTTAATTTTGAACTTAAAAGTTAGCAAAAAATACAGAACAAAATTTTATCACACACGCGTGCCAATTTTGCGACTTCGTAAAAATGGTATTGCACGGCTGTGCATATATTTTGAGGTGACGTCATTAGCGTTACACAAACATAGTGTACAGACGCGCTAAATGTTAGCGTTATACTATAGGCACATCAATGTAAAATGACTTTTATTTCACTTTAAATGGTCTTTATTTTGGGTATGTGATAAATAGAATATTAAATTCTTGTAAGTTCATTACTGAATTTATTGCACTCGTTGAATAAAATAATATTATGCTCGCCAGAGGCTCGCATAATATAATTTCATTCAACTTGTGCAATAAATTCAGTATTGAACTTACACTCATTCAATATCCTCTATATATTATAATGTAATTAATAACTGTAACTTTGGTGAAGAATCTTATTTTATTTTTGCAAGATAATATTTTTTTCATATTATCACAATGTATGTATAGGTTAGAGTGCATATTGGGTGTTCTTCGTAAATAAGAAAGCTAAAAAGGAGCGGAGTTTGCGAAGCGACTGTAGCTTTCTTATTTACGAAGAACATCCTATATGCACTCTAACCGGCTTAGTGCTCCGCCCACTTGCGTTATATAATATAAAACGTCCAGTTTATATAAAATCTGTTCTATTAAGATTTGAAACCTGAAAATTTGAAAAATCCTCGTCGGTGATTGGCTTAAAATAATTGGCAAGCACTAATTATTATAAACATTGTAATTTATTCTTTTGTCTGTTGATATATTTATATTAACAATTCAAATTTGAGTACAGGACTGTTTAAGGTCGAGGACTCGAGTTTTTGATACTTTTCTTGTAATTATAATAGGCAAATATAGAAATATTTATGTTAGCAATATATTTTGCATGAAATTATTTTATATGAAGTACCAGAATGTTTTATACCATTCAATTATACAATCATGTTTTGTTTCATAAAACCTATGGTTTCATTAATTTATATGACTCACAAGATATTGGCACTCAATTGTTTACAGGCTTTGACAGATTTTGGTTGGTAACATTTACCAAAATAAAATCATTTTTTAATGCCTTTATGTGTGTATGACTACTTTTGTATATAATTTTATTTGTTTAAACTGTATGTTGGATATTTGTAGGGATTTTTTTTTTTAAAATTAGGAATATATTTAACTAAGAAAATGAGAAAATTTTAATAATGTCACTAGTGTATAGTGCAAGTAGAATAAAGAATATTGTTGAAACATCATTTCAGTGTGGTTATGAAAACCAAGATATAAAGTGTATGAAGTCTGTAAAGAATAATTAATCCTTCAACTTGCTGGAATGACAATAATTAGCCATTGCCACCAGTATAGAGCCAGGCCATTATGTTGGTAAATAAGTTAATTTACTTTGATATTGCTATCATTTATACTTTAAATGGACTATTCCAGATTCAAAGGATGGCAAATCCCTGATAAAAAATCAGCAGGTGAAAGGTTACAAGTATTGTGTTCTTTGTTACAAAATGCATTTGTATTATTTTCTTACAGATTTGTTTTCAAATATGAAAGAATAAAACTTTAAATTGGATTGGTCTACAATGTGCAGAATTTCCATATAAAAGTTGTTCATTTACATTCTTATTAAATATTGCTTGAGAAAAACAAATGAGAAATGACAAAACCAACATAGCGGGTTTGCGACCAGCATAGATCCAGACCAGCCTGCGCATCCGCGCAGTCTGATCAGGATCCATGCTGTTCGCTATCAGTTTCTCTACTTTTTATAGGGTTTGTAAGCAAACAGCATAGATCCTGATCAGACTGCGTAGATGCGCAGGCTGGTCTGGATCCATGCTGGTAGCAAAAGCATCACGTTGGTTTTGTCATGACACGGCTCATATTATTATTGTATAACTGCCCTTCAATTATAGACCAATTCACTTTGATTTGATAGATACTAGTTAAAAGAAATCTATCACTAAATTGTTGAAGTGGTAGGTGTATTTAATATCAATTTGGTGTTTTTACATTACATGGAATAATTAACAGCCCCTATTGTACTGAAATAAGCTTTTTATCAATGTAAATATGTATGTTTAAATTTTAAAATACTGTAGTTTTAAAATGATGTGATATTTTCACAAATAAAGATGCTATTATCACACACTTTTTTGTTGTGTTTAAACTGCATTGTTGTACCAAGGAATACACCAAGTGTAAATGCATGGGGTCTTCATGGTCAATTCCTATGCAAGAAAATGACAAACTTGTAAATACTTTATGATAGGCAAGAAAGTATGCCATATAGCATATATGTCAATTCAACAATCCTGAAGTTCACAAAAATTTGGCTGTGCAAGGTTATTTCTTGTTTTAATTCCAGTAGTTCACAATAGATATTAAAAAAATTCCGCTAAATCCCTTTCACATCAGTGAACATAATTGTTTACTTCTTCACCTTTTACCCGATTATGACCTTGATGTTGTGTCATGCATATCATAAGCACATAGCGTCAAGATGGTGATTATTTGTACCAAGTTATTTAAAATCTTACATAAAGTCAAAAAATTATAAAGAACATATAAACTTGACCTTGGGTGTAGCAGCCTGGATGTCGAGCTCTGCAGATTGTGTCATGGTGAGGATCATTTGTACCAAGTAATTTTAAAACCTTTTAATTGTCAATAAGTTATAGAGCAGACATGACATGAATACATGTTTTTACATTTGACCTTTCAGTGTGACCCTGACCTTCAGGGTTGTGACTTGATGATTTTTTTGCTCTGCCAATGATGTCATAATGGTGATCATTTCTGCCAAGTCATCATAAAACATTTCAGCGATTTAAATGCTATGGACAGACACAAAATGAAGACTCTTTAACATTTGACCTGTACGTGTGACCTTTGACCATGGGGGAAGCAATTCAATTATTGCACCTTGCACATCGTCTCATAATGGTGATCACTTGTGCCTAGAAATTTTGTAAAAAAATCAGAGGTTTAAAAGTTATGGAGGGGACACAAAATGTATACTTTTATACATTTGATCTTGAAGTGTGACCTTGACCTTGGGAGTAGCAATCCATTTATTGCCCTTTGCACATGTTCTTATAATGGTGATCAATTGTGTCATTATTTTTTTAAAAATTCAGCGGTTAAATAGTTATGGAGCAGACACAAAATATGGACCTTTTAACATTTGTCCATAAAGAGAGTTTAAAAGAGCAGACAGGAAATGTAGACTTCTTATTATGAAATGAAGACTTTTTAACATTTGACCTTGAAGGGTGACCTTGACCTTCGGGGTAGCAATCTTTGCGCTCTGCACATTGTCTCATTATGGTGATCACTTGTGTCATGTTTTTCAAAAAAATTTCAGCGGTTTAAGTTACGGAGCTGTCACAAAAGTGTTACGGACTGACAGACAGAGGCCATTCCTATAATTCCCTTTCAGCTATGCAGAAGGGGATTAACAATTACAATTTGCAGTTTGAAACACACAAGCGTTGTACAGTAAATCAATAACATTATTAAGTTGAGTGGACACCCAAGCATCTAGTCCCAGTACCTTAAATTTAGATCTGGTTAGCTAAAAACTACAACACACTGTTAAACAAATAGTTTATTTCATTTCATATTTTGATGTACAATCGTCCAATTCCATAATAATGAGTAAAACAAATTTGTTGTTCAGTTTTAAACTGAAACCATCTAGTACTGTTATAAAGTAATAAATAATTCATGCATTCAGTGCCACTAACATCATCATAACAAAAATCAAAATATTGAAACATCATTTTTTCATCAATGATATAAAATGCAAATACTTTACAAAGCTTTATTTCAGAGCCTGATAGCGTAATGATATTTACACTTTGGTTAAATACTCACATAAGTCCTCACTTTAACAATGCACCATTTCTACTGCATATAATGAAGTATAGATAATACTTCATTGTTAATCTGTTGCCCTTTTAAAAAAATGTTGTTTTATTTTTAAGTTACATTAACACAGTCTTTTTCTTTACTTGTCCATGAAGAACCAAGGTGCCTATAGGTCTTATTATTGAAGGCCTGTCCCCTGGGTAAAATTATTATCCATCCTTTTGATAAGTTGGTTTTCTTAACAAAATGATACACTTTGAAGAATACCATCCAATCAGATATTTCAAAACGAAGGTTTAAGAACCAATCTATGTTCACGGAAATTGGTATTAAAAACAAACTGACCATCAAGAAGCCCTTATCATATAAATGAAATAAAAATATATGGGAAACTATTTGTAATAATCATGGATCGATTTTAAGTGATGATGTTACCGATATATATAATGGTTATAACAATGAAGACGGCCGGTCATCAAGTGATCATGCAGTATGTACATAAGAATAAAGAGGGCTGGTCAATAAGTAATACTAATTTATGACATTAATCACAATGAAAAAATTCAATGATTATTTTAATTAGTTAAATCATTTTGATGAAACAAGCATTTCGCTGTTGTAGACTAAATGCAAAACTTGATGTAGACTGAATGTAAAACTCTTTATGAGAAAATAGATGAAGAATACTATTGCTACTGTCTTTAACAATACACTGTAGAGCAAATAATGCCCATGGGCAACAGATAAAGTAGTAAATTCAAAGGGAAAATCTCATCTGATGGATTAAATTTGAGACGGTTCTGTACAAAAAAATTTCTTTCCGTCATAAATTACTCAGATTATGGTACTTGTATAGTCCTGTCGATGAATATTATTTATCAATAGTGCAGAAATTCCACAACCTTGTCTAACAAATAAAACATTTTAAAAAGTAACAGATATAGAATAGTGACTTACAAACACATGGCACTGACTGTACTGTGCTTCTAAATGATTAGCACTAAAATAATATAACAACATATTCTAGAGAGTATTTCTTTTCCCTATATTCCAACACATTCAAGTTTCAATGTAATTTTAGAATTGGAACATATTATTTAATATGTATAAGACAAATAACTAAATGTTATAAAATGGCATGAAATTCTGCACACGACAGTATTCATTTAAAGGTTACATAATTTTTGACCAATCACATGAATGGACAAGGGATTTTCAACAATGCATGTTCTATTTAATTAAATCCAAGGACATAAACATTGTTTTAAAATGTTATACACACAAGACTAGCAAATACATTACACTGTAAAGTTAACTTATATACATGTATATTTCAGCAAATCCATGCCAAACAAGATTGCATTTGAGAAAAATGCTATGCCACCGCAATAATACAACACTAAATAGTAGTGTAGGAACAGATTTTTTTGTTTCTATACAATTGAAGATTGTCATAATGCATATCTAATTCTTATTATCAGATTAGTGGTTTAATCTATTGTTAACTCAATAAAAGATCAGAGTAGGAATATATCAATGCACTTGAGTCTAGTGAATTTGGTGGTGAAGGTCATATTTCACACAGCCTAAAATTTCATGACTGCATCAAAGGACAACATGTAATACACTTTGTCAAAATCTAGGTCAGCTGATATCAAAGTTCACTTTTAATTTTGACACTAGAGGCAAAATTTGAACAACTTTGGTAGAGTACCTATAGATGATATCATTTAACAAATATTAAAGCTCTAAGCCTTGTACCTTCAGACAATAAGATTTTTTTTTATTTTTTACTATATGTATATATTGAAAATCAATGACCCCCGGGCGGGGGCAGTTTTGACCCCAGGGCTATTATTTGAACATTCTTGCTAAAGGTTCACTTCACAATGTTTCATGCGAAGTACCTAACCTCTAGCATTTGTGAATTGCTAGAAGAAATTTTTTAAAAGTTTTTACTATAAGTTTTTACTATGTAAATATGAGGAAAATCAATGACCCCAGGGCCAGGCCGATTTTGACCCCAGGGCTATAATTTGAACAATCTGGGTAGAGGTCTATCAGACAATGCCTTATGCAAAATATCTAAGCTCTAGGCCTTTTGGGTCTTTACAAGAAGGTATTTTAAATTTTTACTATATGTACATATAGTGAAAATCCATGACCCCCGGGGCAGGGCTGATTTTGACCCAGGGCTATAATTTGAACAATATTGGTAGAGGTCTACCAGACAATGCCTTATGCAAAATATCTAAGCTCTAGGCCTATGGGTCTTTACAAAAAAAGGTATTTTAAGTTTTTACTATATGTACATATAGTGAAAATCAATGACCCCCAGGGCGGGGCCGATTTTGACCCCAGGGCTATAATTTGAACAATCTTGGTAGAGGTCTACCAGACAATGCCTTATGCAAAATATCTAAGCTCTAGGCCTTTTTGGGTCTTTACAAGAAGATTTTTTAAATTTATTCTTATAATTCCTTTTGGTTGCCATGGCAACCAGATTTCTGCATGGAATTAAATTCTTTGAACAACTTTGGAAGCCCTTCACCCAAGGATCAATCCTGCCAAGTTTGGTTGAAATTGGACTAGTGGTTTTTCACAAGAAGATTTTTTAAGTTCACTATATAATCTATATAACACACACACACACAAACAAACAAACAAACAAACACACACACACACTCACACACAGGTGAATCGCTATATGCCACCGCATCGCAGATGCTGCGGTGGCATAAAAAGCGAATGAAAAGCAAAATATACATGAGCTGCTTTTGCTGGCAAATATACACTTCATGAATTCAAATATCATATTACTTCAATAATGACCTATACTTCCTATACAATTTTGTATCTTTAATCACAATATTTGGTCATATATGACACTCGTTAATATACAAGAGTATTTTTGTACTTGCCTAGTAGTCTTGAAATTTCAAAAACGTAAAATTCCAAATGCACATTACATCAAATTTTACCATTCTATCATAATCTAAGCCAATTTTCAAAGATAATGTACTTTTGGTAAGTAAAATAATGCTGTTTTTTTCTCATCTTCTTAAAAAAGATGATTTAATCACCTACACCCTGACTAGGTATTTTATTTCAATGTTTACAGGAAACTAGCTAAAATCTTAATGTTTATAAATCAGAAATTTGCCCTATAAACATGTGATTTAAATATTGCTTTTTTCAGGACATACCACCATAGCCGTTGACACTTGGGACAGACAACTTTTTTATCTTAAATATTTGGGGAAAAAACACTGTACCTT